AGAAACTAATTTTGTATTCTGAAACTTTTTTAAAACAAAAAAAAAAAAATAATAATAACAATTTTTCAGTTTACGAACAGTATAGCCGAACGGCTATACTAGTTATAAATATAAAACGGACCAGCACAAAGCATAGGGCCACGTGTCAAAAGGGTAGGGCCGCCGGGCTGTACTATTTTTTTGAGAAAAACGGGTATAGCCGCACGGCTATACAACTTTTAAAAAGAACGAAGGGAAAACTGAGTATAGCCGTACGGCTATACGCTTAAAAAATACATATATGTTATTTTTATTCAATAATATGTGAGAATATGTATATAATGCTTGAATTTTGTGGTCCTTATTGAAATTTTTGTTAAAAATATGTGTATTAAACATGAGAAATGTGTGCGGATGTGTATAATACATTATTAAACGTGAAAGTGCCAAAATATTTATATGTATAATAATTCTGAAAAAGTAAAAAATCGAAAAGGGACAATAGTTACTCGAGTAATGACCTAATAGTAACGGATTGGACTCTTGGGCTATGGAGAAATTTAATTAAGACACCCAAAAGATTTCACAATACACTTAATAAATAGAAATTAATTATTTTGTGCACTTTTTCTTGAATTTGTTGTATTAAATAGTAATTGAAATAGGCACTTGGGCAATAGAACAAAAGTAAAGAAACTAATTTTATATCCTGAAAATTTTTGAAAAAAAAATAAAAAAAATAATTTTTGCTAGCCGCACGGCTATACTATTTATAATATAAAACAGACCAGCCCAGAGCATAGGGCTACGTGTCAAAAGGGTAGGGGCGGCTGGCTGTACTATTTTTTTTTTAGGAAAATCGAGTATAGCCGATTGGCTAGACAACTTTTAAAAAGAACCAAGGGAAAACTGAGTACAGCCGTTCGGCGATACACTTTAAAAAATACATATATGTTATTTTTATTCAATAATATGTGAGAATATGTATATAATGCGTGAATTTTGTGTGTCTTATTGAAATTTTTGTTAAAAATACATGTTATAAACATGAGAAATACGTGCGGACGTGTAAAATACATTATTAAACGTGAGAGTACCAAGATCTTTATACGTATAATAATTCTGAAAAAGTAAAAAATCGTAAAGGGACAATAGTTACTCGAGCAATGACCTAATAGTAACGGATTGGGCTCTTGGGCTATTTATAAATTTAATTAAGACACCCAAAATATTTCACAAAACACTTAATAAATAGAAATTAATTATTTTTGTGCACTTTTTCTTTAATTTTGTTGTATTAAATAGTAATTGAAATAGGCACTTGGGCAATGGAACCAAAGTAAAGAAACTAATTTTATATTCTGAAAATTTTTGAAAACCAAAAAGAAAATAATAATAACAACTTTACAGTAACCGTATAGCCGAGCGGCTATACTAGTTATAAATATAAAACGGACCAGCACAGGGCATAGGGCCGCGTGTCAAAAGGGTAGGGCCGGCCGGCTGTACTGTTTTTTGAGGAAAAACGGGGATAGGCGCCCCGGCCTATACCATTTAAAACTGAGTACAGCCGTTCGGCGATACACTTTAAAAAATACATATATGTTATTTTTATTCAATAATATGTGAGAATATGTATATAATGCGTGAATTTTGTGTGTCTTATTGAAATTTTTGTTAAAAATACATGTTATAAACATGAGAAATACGTGCGGACGTGTAAAATACATTATTAAACGTGAGAGTACCAAGATCTTTATACGTATAATAATTCTGAAAAAGTAAAAAATCGTAAAGGGACAATAGTTACTCGAGCAATGACCTAATAGTAACGGATTGGGCTCTTGGGCTATTTATAAATTTAATTAAGACACCCAAAATATTTCACAAAACACTTAATAAATAGAAATTAATTATTTTTGTGCACTTTTTCTTTAATTTTGTTGTATTAAATAGTAATTGAAATAGGCACTTGGGCAATAGAACAAAAGTAAAGAAACTAATTTTATATCCTGAAAATTTTTGAAAAAAAAATAAAAAAAATAATTTTTGCTAGCCGCACGGCTATACTATTTATAATATAAAACAGACCAGCCCAGAGCATAGGGCTACGTGTCAAAAGGGTAGGGGCGGCTGGCTGTACTATTTTTTTTTTAGGAAAATCGAGTATAGCCGATTGGCTAGACAACTTTTAAAAAGAACCAAGGGAAAACTGAGTACAGCCGTTCGGCGATACACTTTAAAAAATACATATATGTTATTTTTATTCAATAATATGTGAGAATATGTATATAATGCGTGAATTTTGTGTGTCTTATTGAAATTTTTGTTAAAAATACATGTTATAAACATGAGAAATACGTGCGGACGTGTAAAATACATTATTAAACGTGAGAGTACCAAGATCTTTATACGTATAATAATTCTGAAAAAGTAAAAAATCGTAAAGGGACAATAGTTACTCGAGCAATGACCTAATAGTAACGGATTGGGCTCTTGGGCTATTTATAAATTTAATTAAGACACCCAAAATATTTCACAAAACACTTAATAAATAGAAATTAATTATTTTTGTGCACTTTTTCTTTAATTTTGTTGTATTAAATAGTAATTGAAATAGGCACTTGGGCAATAGAACAAAAGTAAAGAAACTAATTTTATATCCTGAAAATTTTTGAAAAAAAAATAAAAAAAATAATTTTTGCTAGCCGCACGGCTATACTATTTATAATATAAAACAGACCAGCCCAGAGCATAGGGCTACGTGTCAAAAGGGTAGGGGCGGCTGGCTGTACTATTTTTTTTTTAGGAAAATCGAGTATAGCCGATTGGCTAGACAACTTTTAAAAAGAACCAAGGGAAAACTGAGTACAGCCGTTCGGCGATACACTTTAAAAAATACATATATGTTATTTTTATTCAATAATATGTGAGAATATGTATATAATGCGTGAATTTTGTGTGTCTTATTGAAATTTTTGTTAAAAATACATGTTATAAACATGAGAAATACGTGCGGACGTGTAAAATACATTATTAAACGTGAGAGTACCAAGATCTTTATACGTATAATAATTCTGAAAAAGTAAAAAATCGTAAAGGGACAATAGTTACTCGAGCAATGACCTAATAGTAACGGATTGGGCTCTTGGGCTATTTATAAATTTAATTAAGACACCCAAAATATTTCACAAAACACTTAATAAATAGAAATTAATTATTTTTGTGCACTTTTTCTTTAATTTTGTTGTATTAAATAGTAATTGAAATAGGCACTTGGGCAATAGAACAAAAGTAAAGAAACTAATTTTATATCCTGAAAATTTTTGAAAAAAAAATAAAAAAAATAATTTTTGCTAGCCGCACGGCTATACTATTTATAATATAAAACAGACCAGCCCAGAGCATAGGGCTACGTGTCAAAAGGGTAGGGGCGGCTGGCTGTACTATTTTTTTTTTAGGAAAATCGAGTATAGCCGATTGGCTAGACAACTTTTAAAAAGAACCAAGGGAAAACTGAGTACAGCCGTTCGGCGATACACTTTAAAAAATACATATATGTTATTTTTATTCAATAATATGTGAGAATATGTATATAATGCGTGAATTTTGTGTGTCTTATTGAAATTTTTGTTAAAAATACATGTTATAAACATGAGAAATACGTGCGGACGTGTAAAATACATTATTAAACGTGAGAGTACCAAGATCTTTATACGTATAATAATTCTGAAAAAGTAAAAAATCGTAAAGGGACAATAGTTACTCGAGCAATGACCTAATAGTAACGGATTGGGCTCTTGGGCTATTTATAAATTTAATTAAGACACCCAAAATATTTCACAAAACACTTAATAAATAGAAATTAATTATTTTTGTGCACTTTTTCTTTAATTTTGTTGTATTAAATAGTAATTGAAATAGGCACTTGGGCAATAGAACAAAAGTAAAGAAACTAATTTTATATCCTGAAAATTTTTGAAAAAAAAATAAAAAAAATAATTTTTGCTAGCCGCACGGCTATACTATTTATAATATAAAACAGACCAGCCCAGAGCATAGGGCTACGTGTCAAAAGGGTAGGGGCGGCTGGCTGTACTATTTTTTTTTTAGGAAAATCGAGTATAGCCGATTGGCTAGACAACTTTTAAAAAGAACCAAGGGAAAACTGAGTACAGCCGTTCGGCGATACACTTTAAAAAATACATATATGTTATTTTTATTCAATAATATGTGAGAATATGTATATAATGCGTGAATTTTGTGTGTCTTATTGAAATTTTTGTTAAAAATACATGTTATAAACATGAGAAATACGTGCGGACGTGTAAAATACATTATTAAACGTGAGAGTACCAAGATCTTTATACGTATAATAATTCTGAAAAAGTAAAAAATCGTAAAGGGACAATAGTTACTCGAGCAATGACCTAATAGTAACGGATTGGGCTCTTGGGCTATTTATAAATTTAATTAAGACACCCAAAATATTTCACAAAACACTTAATAAATAGAAATTAATTATTTTTGTGCACTTTTTCTTTAATTTTGTTGTATTAAATAGTAATTGAAATAGGCACTTGGGAAATGGAACAAAAGTAAAGAAACGAATTTTATATTCTGAAAATTAAAAATTTAATATTTATTTTTACAAACAGTATAGCCGCACGGCTATACGATTGACCAACCCTAAATGTCAAAACAGTAGAGCCGCTCGGCTGTACTATTCTTAACACAAAAATGAATTAAGGCAAACAAAACAATTATACATCTTAGATTTACATCTTTTTTCATTGGAGTAAACATATTTACACTCCGAATGTGTAAAAAGGATGTAAAAGTGGTTTTACACCCACGAAATTACATTTTCCCACTGTAGATGCTTTAGAGAGACGAGGAAGAGGTACTGGAGTTGGAGTGCTTTTGTTATTTTCATTTTAAAATAATAATTTTATTAGGTTAAAATAAGTCAACAGTGTTAACATAAGGGACACATGTCAAAAGAGAAGGAAGGAAACAGGAGGCACAGGGATTTGTAACAAGATAATTGGACTCCGAAGTCCCTCTTTTTCTCTCCGTCCCCTTTTCTCCCACCTCTCCCACCCCATCCCCCCTTCCCCTCCGACGAGTCCAGCCACCAGCACCTCCTCCCTCTCTCGTCGCTCTTTCTTCTATCTCTCTCGTCGCTCTCTCTCCTCTCTCTCTCTCTCTCTCGTCGCTCTCTCGTCTGTCTCTCTCTTTCTCTTTCGTCGGTTGCTGGTTCTGGGTCGACGCCCGTCGTTTGCAGCTCCGTCAAGGTCTCCTTCGTCCACTACCCGACCCAAAATTGATCAATCTTTTTTCATGTTTTGGGTTTCTAGTGAAAGCTTACAGATTTTTCCTTTTCTTTTGTTAATTTCAATTTAGGAATCTAGGGTTTCTGATTTTAATTTCAATTTTTTAGATTTTAAAAATAGTTTGGAGTTCACATGGCGCACAGGTTGCTCAGGAATGTGGAGGCGGATGGTTGGGAACGTTCAGACTTTCCCATCATCTGCGAGTCATGCTTGGGCGACAATCCCTACGTCCGGATGACACGAGCTGATTACGACAAGGAGTGCAAGATTTGCACTCGACCATTCACCGTTTTCAGGTGGAGACCTGGTCGTGATGCGCGATTTAAGAAGTCAGAGATTTGTCAGACGTGCAGTAAGTTGAAAAATGTTTGTCAAGTTTGCCTCTTGGATCTGGAATACGGCTTGCCAGTTCAGGTTCGAGATACTGCTCTGGCCATCGGTTCTAACGATGCCATTCCAAAGAGTGATGTAAATAGGGAGTTTTTCGCTGAGGAGCATGACCGAAAGGTAACTTTTCTCTCTTTGCCTTGAACAACGGGGCTTAGTTAGAGTACTAATTTATGTAAATCTTTTGGAATCCTTTAGTGTCTAATTTTAATTTTGATTGGTGAGTGCAGGCTAGAGCTGGTATAGACTACGAATCTTCATACGGAAAGGCACGACCCAGTGACACTATTCTGAAGCTTCAAAGAACAACACCCTATTACAAAAGGAACAGAGCACATGTCTGCAGTTTCTACATTCGGGGTGAGTGCACAAGAGGTGCTGAGTGTCCTTACAGGCACGAGATGCCCATAACTGGGGAGTTGTCACAGCAAAACATCAAAGATCGTTACTATGGGTATGTCCAATGCTTCATATTTCCTGTTCTCAGTATGACAATGAAGAATGAATTTCAAGTTGCATGTTTTTTCCTTATAGTTACAGTTGGCTACTTTAAACTTGTGAATTTGTTTGTTGATTTAGCATTGTTTCTTATGTTTAATATTTTCCACTCGATTATTTCCTCAGATTAAAGTCTACCTTTTTCAGTTGGGAATGAAATTCTTGTCTGAAATATTGGTAGATGTAATTTCCTTCCAAGTAGATAAAGTCGTTAATTTGAAGATATTTATTCTGAAGATTGTAGCTTCTTTTTCCGTTTGGGAGGTGATAGGAGTGTACTACTGCAGCCTCTAGTTAGCATTTTTGGCCAACACAATAGCTTTCACAAACCTATATCCCCAATCTTTCTTTCGCATGTTTGTACATGCCCGTATACTATAATGTACGGATTTCAGAAGTTTGTAATGCTCACATCTCATCTTAATTATCTGCAGAGTCAATGATCCAGTGGCAATGAAGCTGCTTAACAAGGCTGGAGAGATGCCCTCCCTGGAACCTCCTGAGGATGAAAGCATAAGAACTCTATACGTGGGTGGGCTTGATGAGAGAATTTCTGAGCAGGATTTGAGGGATCAATTTTATGCTCATGGTGAAATAGAATCTGTTAGGATGGTACTCCAACGAGCATGTGCTTTTGTAACCTACACAACAAGAGAAGGTGCAGAAAAGGCTGCAGAAGAACTCTCTAATAAACTGGTAATAAAGGGTTTGAGATTGAAGTTAATGTGGGGTAGACCCCAAGCACCAAAACAGGACTCAGAGGGCACAGCTGAAGCTAGGCAGCAGGCAGTGGCTCATAGTGGGTTGTTGCCTCGAGCAGTCATATCTCAACAGCAGAACCAATTACAAGACCAACCTGCACCAGTGCACTTTTACAACATGCCACCTCCACCCTCACAGGAGAGATCATTTTATCCATCAATGGATCCTCAAAGAATGGGGGCTATAGTTCCATCCCAGGAAGGGGCTCCTAGTGGGCCTACAGGGTCGGGCGAGAACAATTCCGGTGCAGAAAGGCAGCAACGTAGTCAGCATTATGCTTTTCAAAACGTGCCTCAACCACATGGCCAATATCGTCAGCAGTTTTATCCTCCTCCCTACGGGTATGTGCCTCCTCCAACAGTACCGTACCAGCAATACCCTCCACAATATCATGCTCGAGTGCCGCCGCCACCATCCTTGCCAATGAACCAACAGTACCAGCATTCAGCAATACCAGGGCCTGCACACTCAGGTTCTACATCATCAGGATCCGCACCATCAAGTTCTGGACCATCGGGGTGCACGCCATCTGGTTCTGGGTCTGCCCAGACGGGGTCATCCCAGCAGTGACATTATCCTTCTGTTGTTGTCTTTATACTTATGTTGTATGAAGTTGGTTATTTGAGTCAAATTACTTGCTTTGTATTCTGGATTCAGCATAGTAATCAGTATCTTTCCAGGGTTACTCTTTGTAAGCAAAAATTCTGCACCTTTTGTAGATCTTTCCTCTTCTTTTTAATTTTTCCTGGTTAAGGATCGTTCTTCTAATATAGCTGCTGCCTTCAATTTCTTTTTCCGGTTAAGTAAAAAGAAATTAATGTAGGGTAAGGGTAGAATAGGAAAAAGAGAGAACAAAATTGATTAAAAAATATTAAAAAAGCAAAAAGGAGTGGAAGTGGAGAAATCATATCCCAAAACCTATTGTAGCCCATGTTGTTTTTAAAGAGAAAAAAAAAAAAAAAAAAAAAAAAAACCTATATGGCCTATTAACTTGGCGGTTTTTGTGGTCTTCTTGGGAGTTTCTCCATTGTTCTTGTGTTAACTCTTTTATTGCATTTGATATGCATTTGTTTTATGCTAAATTTATTGAAAATTAGTTCATAGGGCTATGAACTAGTGTGGTGTTATATGATTTAATGTTTATTTTTATTTCCAAAAAAAATATAAAAATTGTAAGTTCAAAAATAAAATTAGATTTAAAGCTAAAATAGAGATAGAGATTGTTGTGAGCTTGTGAGTACGTTGTTGTTTATTTTATGTTTATACAAACGATATTAAAAGAAAGGAATTCAAACACATAACTTCAAGTGTATGGGTATGTATTATATATTTAGGCTAAAAGTCATTTTTGATCCCTATAGTTTGGCACTTCAACCACTTTTGACCTTGTAGTTTCAATTTCGTCAATTTTGAACATGTAATTTCGTATTTGTAGCAATTCAAGAACAAATTAGTATTTATGTCAATTTCTTTGACAATATAAGGGGTAATTTCGTCAACTCAAAATCCTTGAGCATAAAAGCTCGTCTGAAACTCCTCTAATTTCATATTAGGGCTTGAAGTTGGTCATTTGGATTTAGTGTTCTTCAAAAATTAGGATTAGTGGTTGAATTTCAAGCCCTAATATGAAATAGGGAGAATTTCAAACAAGCTTTTACGCTCAAAGGTTTTGGGTTGATGAAATTGCCCCTTGCATCGTTAAAGAAATTGACAAGAATACTATCATGTCCTTGAATTGCTACAAATACGAAACTACGATGGCAAAATTGACGGAATTGTGATTCCTTGGATTTTATTGAAAAGCTTTTAAATTTGGGCTATTGAATTTGCTCTTCTACTCACAAGCTTTTAAATTCAAGTTTGTTAACACGTATTCTTGTATTCCAAAAACGATTCATGACTTTTCTAATTCTATGTAAGTAAACATGACATCAATGTGAGAAAATCTTCTTTCACGTTCCGTAGACAAATTTTAGAAAATGTTACAACTTGTTGAGGCCCAAAAAAGTCCATGGTTGGGCCTAAAAAAGTTTTCAGTCCAATACGATACTGTATTAAGAAAAGTCACATATCGCAGTACACGAAGGCTTGTCATATACAAGTCATAGCCCACATGCCATGCTAAATAAATAATTTGCCATGCCAAGAATTGAAATAATATTATAAACTACAAGCTCATGCTAAACTAAGCACCGTGTCCCTCTTCAAGGATGATAAAATTGAAGCACACCAAGCGACATGCCACGCCAAGCAAGAAATTATTATTCCGCACCCAATCACACCATAAGCTTAAGTGGACCCCAAGCCACTCAAATACCCTGGGCTTGCTTGAGTGGGTTGTGGTATAGATAGTAATAAATTGTCATGAGGCCCATTGATGGGCCGAGAAATGGAAGTTCTGGGTTGCTTGGGAGCCTCGAAACTCAAGCCCATTTCTTAAGCCCAAACATATGGGTGAGCACAAGAGAGAAAATATCCCAACCAAAATAGCCTATTGACTTAACCAAAAGGCCCAATGCTTGATAAAAGTAGCCAACTTACTTAATAAATCAACTTAGCCCATACAATTACAATAGAAGAGTTGCAAAGCTCCAACATTTGGCTGAAGAATAAAGCAACGAAGGGAACAAAATGGCCACGTACACAGAGCTGCTGGGAGGAGCACATGGGAGGAACAAGTAGATGTTAGCGCGCAACACATCTGAAGAACCAAAGGATATTAGCGTGCAAGCTACCAGGAGGAGAGGCACCATTCGAACCAGCATGTGTATCCATTTGCTTTCCTTCATCATATCTAGCCATGGAAAGAGGAAGGAAAGAAAAAGGGAAATAGCTGAGAATGGGAGCCTCCCATTGAAACAACTGCGAGAAAAGGCCTTGAGCTCCTAAAAATCCTTGATTTTGTGCAAATAGGCAGATGGAATTTCACCAAGATGGGGAAAGTCAAGGGAGGAGAAGAGAAAGAGAGGAAAAGATTTGGCCAAATTGGACAGAAACCATTAGGGTTTCTTGGAAATGGATGGCTTCCATCGGCTATAAATAAGGTCTCTTCTACCCAACAAAAATTATCCACATCCAGAGAGCAAGCTTCCTCTCTTACCTGCAAAACCCAGCAATTTCATGCACTATTCACCCTTCTTCCCCATTTTCTATTTTCTGGCAGATTGCTCTAACATTTGACAGAATCACTGTCAAGCTACCAAAAGAGACACTTAAGCCACCCTTTCCTTTCTCTCCCTTCTCTCTTAGCCAAACCCTCTTGCAAGCCTTTCCTTTCTTACTTTGACACCCTTTCTTCCTTCTAATAACACATAATTTTCTCTTCAGTGCTAAACTCATGCCAATTTTGCTTCCATGCCACGATCTCCTCATGCCAAGCTAAGAATTCATTTGTAAGCACTAAGAATCTACTTGTAAGTAGCCATCATTTTTGCTGGTGAAGGTAACCAAAGTGTTTCATAAGGTTTTACTACCCTTTCGAAACATTTTGGGTTCTGATCTTTGAACTCAGACACATGAGATATTTTCTTCAGTTTGCTCCTTACGGCAGCTCAGCCCATTTGTAGCTGCCAGAAGAAGGCCCCTACACAACTCAACCACTTTTTAGTTTCAAATGGGATTTAGGATCCAATAATTTTTTTTTTGTTTGTTTTAAATACATGAGATAGTGTTAGGGGTAGACATAATTTGAACAATTTTTATTTTATTTTTATACAAATGATATTGGAGGAGATGAAAATGGAACCTAAAACTTTGGAAGCAAAGATAATTATTCTTAACTACTTGAGCTCCAAGTCCGGTGTGACTCCAACAATGTTGTTATTAATATTTTATTCAACTTGTGTTTTAAAAAGATTATTTTATTCAAAGTAAGAAAATAATGTTGGCCCTACATGTGCCACATCATCACTTAACAGATTCTTTAACAACCAATTGAATGGCATAGCTACATTGCATAAAAATTATAAACTAAGGGTACGTAATTGTTAAAATTGAGAACGGGGAGACAAACATGTCTTAAGGGTACAATTTCAGAATACCAAACTGAAATTAACCCAAGAAAGTTTATATCTCCAGAGGTCAAGAGCCTATCAACCTACCTCTCATGGGCTGGAACCTCGTATATTTAAGCCCACAAAAACAAGATAAAATGGGGCCGATCCGACCCGGATCTCTTAGCCCATAGATTCTGGACTCGGTGGAGCATCACCCGTCTCACACGTATGCACCGAAAACCTCAACCTTCTTCTCTCTATCTCAGCTTGGCCTTCTGCAGTTTTGCTTCCCTACCCAATCAAAATTCAGAGTGAAAAACTACAGTTTCCCAGCTCTGAGAATACAATAGCCGGAGAAATCTCTCTGTTTCTCCATGGCCACTTCTTTACTTTCTCATCTCTCAGCTCCGCCCTCACCCGCCATAGACAATTACCAAGGTCGTCAAGCAGTTGCCTTCAATTCTGGGATCCCAAATACCTTCCTTCATGGCACCAAGGTCTTCTCCGCTACACCTTCTTCTTCAAGAAGGCTCGCAGCTCAAAGGCGCTTCAAGTCTGCCTATGCCAAGGCTTCGGAACACATTCCAAAGCAGTTCAGGCAAGAAAATCTCAAAGATGGACGTGAGTCTTCACTACCCTGCTGCTCTCTTTGTTTATTTATTGATTTTCATAGGTGCCCATCTCTTCTAGTTTGATTTTAAGGGGTATTTGTGATTCATTTCTTTCATCCAATCGCATATGCCATGTGGGTTTTCTTTCCTGTTTCTAATTTTTTGGTTGGGAGGTTTCAATTGGGTTGCTCCGTAGAGAGTTAGGAAATATAGACAAAGTTGAAATTTTGAATATTCAATTATTACCCGCATGATATTTGAGGGGACAAAGTTTTTTTTATCAGTTTTGAGGGTAGATAGTAAAGCCTTTTGGAAGTGCAGGCAAACGTTTACAGTTGTTTCCAAACCAAAAGAACATTTGGTTCTACCCCAATTTTCTCATCTATAGCCCTGCTATCATGTTGCTTTTGAGGATTTTATTAATGGTGGTTTCACAGTCTCAAATTTGTGCTCAGTTCTTGTGAGTTTTCAAGGAAAATTGTAAGGGGTTGGGTACTGAAATGGAAGAGCTGTTGTGATGGAAAATGGCCACAAAATAAATATAAGCTTGTGCACAAGGCAATTTCATGTTACCTTATATTATTATCATGGATCATAAGGAACGGTTGGTGAACTAGAGTGGTCATGCTCTGTTAATATGTTGAAAGTAGAATGCACACAGACCATATGTTGGTAGGAGAAGCCAAGGAAAGCTCGGCATCGTTGGGGATTGTGGATTGGTGCGGGTCTATGCTTAGTGGTTGAGTGTACCCCAAAAGCACTTAAAAGTCCAGTGCTTATGTATTTCAAGATGCTGTTTTTTTGGTTCTTAGTATTCTTTATGAGCTACGTAGATAAAGGTAATAACCATTGATGTTAAGAACCCATGGGTAGAACTTGTCCATGCAAAACTGGTTAGCAAGAAAAGGTTCTCAATAACTTTCCTAAGTCGTGATGTTTTATATTTTCAAGTTGGGACATGGGAGATGTAAATTTCACCATGCTTTCGAAGATCGATTTCCTCATCAACCTTCTCTATCAACGCTGATCCGGTGGTTGACCTCTTCACTTTTGGGTAGCTTCCTCACTTACCATTATTCAACGACTTAGCACCTTAGGCCACACTTTCATGCTTCGATACCAAAGGTTACCCTTGAAAAATTGATTTGCATGCAGAAGAAGC